CGGTGCAGCAGCACCCCGGAACGTGGCGGGCTGGGAAACGAGCAGGAGTCCGGCCGGGAAAACAGGAGCCGGACTCGCAACTCGCTCACCGTAAGCGGAGGGCTGAGACCCTTTCCTTGCGCTGGTGCGACTGTGCCTCGCTTTCCTACCAGCAAAGCCTGTGAGTTTGGGAGAATTCAGCAAGTCCTTACTTGTGGGAGCTTGCAGACAGCACCGCAGAAACGCCTCTAAGTAAAGAAGGCTGTGACCTGTGTACGTCCGTCTTCCTAAAATGGCTCTGAAATGGAGCCGATGCCTCCCCTTTTTCCAGCAGCAACCTCTGGAAATGATTCTACTATGAAACACTGCCTCTGAGATGATTTCTGTATGCTTCATTCGGGAAAAAAAAATCGGATAATAATTTACAAATCACAAGTGCAAGGGAGAAATAGGTAGATGTTGTGGTCTTTTTTTCCTGCTTGGACTTAGGAACTCTGAATGAAGTCCTCCCAGTAATGAGCTTAGCTTGAAATGAAGCGGATCTGCGCTTTGAGAGAGGTTCTGGAGCGTGAACTGAGAGTGCCTAGTTTGTGCTGTTCTCATGCAAACAGCAATTCCAGGAAGATGTTTTCCTTCATTAAGGAAAATACTCGAAGACAGTAAGGCTATGCCATGAGAACTGAATTAAATAACACTGGAAGCAGAAACCTAACATGGATCACTTGCCTTTTTTCCCCCCCCCACTATTGCAGATGTTTCTAAGATATAAATACCTGAACCGTGTTCCTTTTTTTTTGTTAAAAACGTCTGCTTTTTTATATTATTTGCAGTGTTGCTGAATTTTAGTCATCCTGGATGACTAAAATCATCACTGGATTATACACACAATCTACCACCTCCACTTTTAAAATAACTGATTCTTTTTAAAATATACCTTATAGGCATTTTCAGAAAAGAGAAGATGCAGCATATGCAGACATTGTTCCCAGCTGAATGACTGTGTCAGAGAATTAAAACAAAGTATAACTGAAGTTGTCTCCTATCACTAAGGTATTGCTGAAATCCTAATGAACCGACCCCACGCAAGAAATTCATTGGGAAAAGTATTTGTAAATGAAGTGAGTATAGCCCTGGCCTGTAAAGATGTTTGGAATCATGATCGATAACTAAATAGGATGTGAATAGCTATGATCAAGACTAATTTGTGGGAAACCCGAGACAAAAATTTAATCTTTTGCTAAAAGTCAGCGTAGGCGGCACTGAGGCAAGGCATCTTGGCCTGAAGAAAAAGGGACTGGGATATACGTACGTTGCAGTAACGTCAGATGAGGACTGAACAGAGACACTGGAACTAGATTTAAGTTAGCTGACTCAGACACGAGTTAACGTGTCTTAGTTCGTTTGAGTAATTATGATGAAAACATACTCAGCATCAGGCCTTAGCAGATGATCTGCTCAAGGTCAACACATTCCAGAGAAAGTCTGGCTCAAGCTTGGAAAGGAGGAAGGAGAGTTTAAGGTACAGCAAAAGTTCATCTTTGAACGGAAGAAAAGAGATGGGGGAAACCTGTCATTCTGAAACTCTCATGGAAGGATCCTGCTGGCTCTAAATAAGTGATCTCCCCGTATGTAATTTGGGAAACATGATATATGTGATAATTTAGGTATATACATCTACACGCTCAAGTTTTTCTCCTCCTGTTTGTATTCCCTCCCTCATAGCTGTTCAGTGCTCTGGAACATCTCCGCTTCGACGAGAAGGTTCGTGTGGTGGTGTTCAAAAGTGAAGTTAAAGGTGTATTTTGTGCTGGTACGTAACAAAGGCACTGCAAGCTCTTATTAAAAATACGGATGACTCTTAGGCCCGAAGGTTGATCAGCCTGTCCAGAAAAGCACATGAGAAGAAAAATAGGGGCTGGATTTTGTGTAACAAACAGTCAACACATTGCTCTCTCTTTGGCCTCTCTGATTCAGTAACGAAGACGTGCGTGATGGAGTGAGCCACACAGGCTGCAGTCTGACATCTAAGCTTTTCTATGCTAGCGTTTCTTTTTGGTTGTTAAGCACCTTCAGGCCCAGGTGATTCGTGCTCCTCTGTGAAATCAGTTCACAAAGAGAGTGGAGAATTCTAGCTGCTCCAGCCCAAATGCCCATGCTCTAGAGCTTCCCCTTTACTTGACCAGAAAACTGTCATTTTAAGACTTCTGAAGCTGTCTGACCTGTGGTAGCAAGAACACAGCTCAGATGTCTTTCCTCTGTTCCTGGCTTCTAACCTTTTTTTCTTCCATTTAGGTGCAGACTTAAAGGAACGCGAAAAGATGGATGATGCAGAAGTCGGGCTCTTTGTTAAAAGGCTGAGAAATCTCATGGATGAAATAGGTAAATGATTATCACAGTTTGAAAATTTGTTCCATGCTGTCCATGTTGAGACACTTAAAATTGCTGAAGGAGAGGAAGGACACCAGTCCCAGCAGGTTATCTGTTTAGAAAAGGCTCCCCAAATGGTTCCATCTTAAGTCTCGTACAAAGATATGATCAGAATTAAATATCAGCTGTCCTGCTGCTACTCCAAGGGCAAGATGCACTTCAGCACTGCCTTTTCCAAGATGAAGAGCAGCACACAGACGTGCATATAAGTATCTGCCATAACAAAGCGTTGTATACAAAGTTCCATGTAATGCTTCGGAGAGAACGCTAGACAGAACGAGTAACGGTGGTTGACTTATTTTTAATGCGCCCTCAAAAGCACTAATGATAGGTCTAAGAACAGGGACTCAGATCTCTGAACGAATCTGTTGCCTCTAAGGGTTTTTAGACCTTCCACGCCTCTCTCTTTTAGGAGAGGAATATGGACTTCTACAATTTTCTTCCCGTATTTATCTTTTTTTTTCTCCTCTCACTGGAGAGGAATACTGAAGTCAAATCTGACTGGAATACCAGCCCAAATAGCAGTCATAAAAAGATTACAATATATAGAGAATGACTGCGTCTCACAAACCACAGAAGCAGCGTTACAGGGAGGGTTTCCTCGTGGTTACAGCACAGAACTAGCACGTACTTCTGAAGCCTGTTCCCAGCTTGCTGACTGAATACTTAAAAAGATACCTTATTGAACAGCTCATTTCCAGATGCCTCAGTTTGTTCAGCTATGAAATCACAGCAGTATTTGCCAAGCTCAGGAGCTCTGGATAACATTTAGAAAAGCGCTTGAAGAGCTAACCCTTGTACCAGTGAAAAGCGATAGTGCCTTTGCTTTGACTGTTTAATTGCAACAGCTGGACATTCACATCATAAATGTGCAAGGAGACAATTCATCATGCTTTGTATTGCAGTACACTACAAAAAGGTGTTTGCATTTTTTTTTTCCAGAGAAGGGCGAAGCGCAAAAAAGATTCAGTTTCTCCCAGAGACAGCCAGAATGTTTGTGGCATTCATACAAAAGAAAAAGAAATCTTGATCAGTTTTGAAATGCTTGAGAAATTAAACACTTGAGAAAACTGTTTCTGGAACAGAACTTGATAATCTGTATTGTTTCCTGTAGCTGCACTGCCTGTACCCACAATTGCTGCAATAGATGGCTACGCTTTGGGTGGGGGACTGGAACTGGCGTTGGCTTGTGACCTTCGAGTAGCAGGTTTGTGCGTTGCTTAATGTAGGATTCTCCTTGTAATTGGTGACTATGTTTTAAAGAAAACTTGCATTTGTGATAGCTTACTGCTAATAGAATCTAGCTGGCTAAAAGAGGAATTTAAACAGTTCAGGAAGTGACTAGGCATTCGTCCGCAATTTGTGACACTTAGCGACTATTGGGAAAGCAATCTCCTTGCTTAAAAAGTAAACCTTATGTTTAGACAAGATTAGAGGTCCTTCAGAAAACTATTTGCTGGTGAGATTAAATAGTTATTACCATGTAATATTGGGTCAGCCCTCTGGCTTGATCTAGCCTTCACTACTTAAACCAATTTTGAGTGGAAGCCTTGCTGCTTCTATTGCTTTTCTTCTGTCTATTACATTTCATTTACTATGGGCCCAAGATTCATTTTTCTTGATAAAATTGCTACATTCCGGTAAGCAGCCAGACTGCGCATCCCTCATCTGACTTGAGATGCAGGTTTATTAAGCACTGTAATATTCACACTTTTTAGCTACTTGGAGAAATGTTGTTCCACTACAGTGTGGACAGTTTTTAGTTGTATTGACAAAGCTTCTTCCTATCATCAAAAAGTAATTTAACCCCATACTTTTTTCTTTAATAGCTTCATCAGCTAAAATGGGCCTCATTGAGACCACAAGAGGGCTTCTTCCTGGAGCAGGTAATCTTGTTTCATTGATGTTAAGTGTCTTTCTTTCTCAGCTGGTACAGGAAATATTTTGCCATTAGAGCACCTGAAGGGTGTTGAGTTTGGGCTTTGAATATAAATTAGAAACAGTATCTTGTAGTGACCCAAGAGATCTATGAATCCAGGATTCTGTTCTAAGCCCTTGTGTCCAACTTGCTAAGAGTTTAGGAAAGTCACTTTACTCTTTTTTTTTTTCCATTTATGAGAATACTCATGAGGACGTTGAAGACTTGGATGCTTTGCAAAATGCTGAGATCCTCAGCTGGTAGTTAAAGAAATACACAATCTGTTATTTTTCAGACCTCTTTGTTAATAAGGAAACAAAACTTTTTTTGGCATTTCTCTGAAGTAGAACATGGTGTTTTGGCTATTGTCTTAAGGTGGAACCCAGCGCTTGCCCAGATGTGTTGGAGTAGGTCTTGCAAAGGAACTCATTTTCACGGGTAGACAGATTGATGGACAAGAGGCCTTCTCAATGGGATTAGTAAACCACACAGTGCAACAGAACGATGAGGGAGATGCAGCTTACCAGAGAGCATTAACTTTGGCTAAAGAAATCCTTCCTCAGGTCAGTGTACTATTCATATGGTCAATGTGAAGAAGGTGTTGCTGCTTCCCTTAAGAGAAAACAAAGAATTTAACTCTGAAATTCCTTTCCATGACATAGTAAAATCTTGGTTTCTGACTTTTAAGCCTCTTAACCCCCTGTCCTTTTTGTGAATGCAGTTTCTGCAGAAACAAGTGTTGACATTGAGCTACATAACCCATAGGACAGTCTTACCCTCCCAGCTGTGGTTATGTAGACCTGCAGGCCACATATAGATGTACGTACGCAAAATAAGGTTTTAATTAACTGTAAATAATCCTAATTTGTATTTTAAAGTTACTGCAAATTCCTATAGACTGAAAGGTCATTTGGAAGGAGGGTAATGATGTAAAAATTGCCTTAATGTAAACTGATGGGGTTTTAATTACTTTTAAATGCCTTTTTTTTTTTTAAATATAGGCTCCAATTGCTGTGAAAATGGGAAAATTGGCAATAAACAGAGGAATAGAGGTAATACAATCTAAAAATATATTAAGATAAAGAAAGCAGACAAGTAGCTCTTAAAAATTACTGTGGTAAAAATGTTTAGAACACACAAATTATAATCCTTGTTTAAACAAGGCATTTAAAACCTTTTCAAGGTTTTTAAAGATTTGCCTTAAAGACCAAATTAACACGGCAGGATTTTGTTCTACAGTTGTTAGCACTGCAGTTCTAATACCATGTCAATACCAGTCACTGCAAGTGAATGTTTATTGCTTTGAGGGTTACAGACTTCAGACAAATGATATTCCTTCCCTCTCGTCCCCAGGTTGACATCGCATCAGGGATGGCTATCGAGGGGATGTGTTATGCCCAGGTAGGTTACCTTCAGAACACGCCCCTGAAAGGAACAACTGTATGTTTTCTGAAGTGGGTGGGATTTCACAGCATCATCTTGTAATTTCCCCTCTGTAAAGGAGGCCTAACAGATAAAACCAAAGCTTTGAGAACACGCTTAGGTGCAGTTCCAGATTTTTATTTCAAAATATTAACTGTTTTCTCATAAAGAGCTGCCTCTCTCTGTTTTCCTAAGGCCACACTCGTTCCTTAAATACCCTTCTACCTAAAGTGATTGTATATTCTTATGTTTTCCATAATACATTAACTACAGCATGAGCTTTGCAAATGGTTTAGTATTAATAGGTTAAAAAATTGATTCCTGTTATAGTCATTCTTTTGGACAAGTTTTGAGAGCACACGCACCTTTCTGAGCTCTTAGAACAATTTAATTGCTGTGCCCTTCAATGCATTTTAAGGTGATACATCATTGAATGTATGGAAAATACTTTCCTTATATAGTTTGCTGGTCTACAGTCCTTTGTCTTAGACTTTCACTTGTGATTTGCACTAGAAACCAGTCTTTGTTTTCCTGACTGCAAAACGTGGAAGATAGGGCTTAATTTATCACTGAGAGAAAAACAATCTCAGCAAAGACTCTAACACCACTACTGCCAAACTAATCACTACTTAAAATCACATCAGATTTGTCAATGGAAACAAACCTCTCTCTCTTTTTTTTTTTTTCCCCCCCCCTCTCCTTCAAATGTAGAATATTCCCACACGAGACCGTCAGGAAGGGATGGCTGCCTTCAGGGAGAAAAGACCACCTCGGTTTATTGGCAAATAACGCTTCCTAGCTTCCCCTTGTTTTTTTTGAAGGTAGCTTGGGCGTGAAGAGGAGCCACTAATTTTTTTGGAATTATTTTTATGACTGCATACATACTTAGCTCTTTACCATGGACTACATTTCTGAATACTCCACTGGATCTCTTGTTGTTGCAAGGATTCCCAAATAAAAGAGATTTAACTTTGTAAAGCTGATCTTTTTAGAGAGGGTACAAATCTTTTCTTTCCTTGTTGTTCTGAATCCAGAACAAATTGACAATAGAGAAATAGGTCCAGCACAAAATGAACAAATAGTCTCAGTTCACTAACTGATCATTAACTCCGAGACTGGACTGTCCAGAAGGGCCCTCAAGCTACAGGTAGACCTGATTCATCTAGCTTCTGTCCTAGTTCTCATGCCTGTCACTTAATTCTCCTCCTGTGGTTTGCTAGATGGCAGCACAAGAATGTGTATGTGGGGAGGAGCAGGGTTGCTATTTTCAGGGGCAGCACAGACTTATGCCAGCCGGGACAATGTAACCTGATGGATTGTTTCCAGGCAGCCAGCGCTGACAAATGCTGGATTACAAACAGCCGTCTGGTGTTTGCTGCAAATGAAAGAATTTAGAATTCTATTTCTAAACTTCTACCTAACAGTGCAGAGAGGTAGCTGGAGTCTAAACATCTGAACCCAACTTCCTCAAGAAACCGGGGCTGAAATTTTAGGAACCTAAAGGATGCACTAGCAGTGCCTTTCTCCGTGTCAGCAACAGTAAATTTGCAGGCATGGCCTTCTTAAGACGAGATCCTGCAAGCAACACAGTACGAGATATTGCCATAACAGCTTGTGAACGATTACAGCAGCCACATATGTGATTGTACTTGCACCTATTCATTTAGTATGGCTTGTGACAGGTTTAGGTCTTCCATAGTACAATGTATATGAATCTATGCTATCTAGTATCTCAGCAGTTATTACCTGGGCATCAGGATCACTCTGGACATTTTCTTTGATGTTACGTAAATATGGCAGTCCACCTCCTTCAGTTAACGTGCTGGCAGCTGAAGTACAAAGGAAAAGTTTATCTTCAGGAAACTTGCTGAGATGGCAGAAGAAAACAAATACAAAAACAAAAAACTGGGTCAGAAGAAGGCTATAGGAGAAGTGGTTGGGAATTTTCTTCCCTCACAGTTTATCACTGAGCAGCTCTGCTGGGATAGAAGAATAAGCAGCAAAACTCAGGGGAGCAAAACCAATGCAGCAGGCATTCTAATTCACTCATAACTTTGTACACATCTCAGCCATGGGACTTTATTATAAAGAAAGATTATAAACTGATTCCTTGAGTTCATAAATGATTCTTAGAATGGAACACAGAAGTGTCAAAAGAAACAGACTATAAAGCAATCATGGACTGGTGACATAGATAAAATCCTCATTTTTAAATTACATGAAAGCTTTTTGTTGGTGCTGTGGGGAACCCAACTTTTCTAGCTGCCCGTAAACTATTACAGCCTTACTCACAGTAAATATCTTAGATCCTAAACGCACTTTAAAAACAAAATCCTTTAAGTTGGATCTAGAACAACGGCGTTTTGTTGGGTTGGCTGAAATGTCAGCAGCTAAAGAAATTGCAGTCTAGACCAGCAGTCTGTCCTGAACTGAGATTATAGTTTAATTCTTGATTATGTATAATACAGGGAAAACGTTTGAGATACGAAACATCACAGCTACTGATTCTAAAGCAACTGTTTTACAATGAAATCCTGCTGTCTGAAGTAATCAGTCAGCTACTTGATGGGCAATGAAGGTTCCCCATGGGGAAAGAAAAGTCTTTCAAGGAAAGCGTTCCACCTCTCACTACAAAACTTCTGCAAGTCAGCAGTCAAGGCTCTCAAACAGATGTCAAGTAAAGTGTAAGGATAAGCTTTGACTTGTCATATGCACATTTGAAAAATCAAAAAGCTAAAAAGGATTACTAAACACTAGGTCAGCTTAGTGTTAATAATATGCTTTAATTGTTCCCATCCTTGATGGGAATTTATCCTAGTAGCTAAAGTATTATAAAAGTCATTCAGAGGACAACCTTCTAAGAACCAGGCCTCAGAGAGCAAGGACTGGACCTACAAACATGCTACATCTCAACGTGAATAGGAAAAGAGTGCTAGGAAGAGAAACCTATCTCATGATTTACCAAGAGATAAAACCTTTCTAAGACAGTCCGCTGTTACTCTGCCAGGTAATCTGTCCGACAGAACAAGCAGAATTAGCAGAGCAGTGGTCTTTCATCCCTATGATTGTTACGAACAGAGGAAAACAGAATCATCGCTCCAGTCAACTAAACTTACATCCGTTTGGTGTCAGCAGCTGACAACTCACAAAACACGTGTGCCCACACGTGCATACGTGGCCTCTGGCTCAGACTCGCCTGCTGTTTCAGGATCGTGCATTATCCCTGGGGCACAGGGACTGATCTGCAGGCAGCCAGAACGACCCTGCTTTCCACTGGGAACCAAAAAAACCAGTCCGGGGCAGCGTCCCACAGCCACAGCCCCCACCCTCCTTCTCCCCCACCAGCACCATGGCCACCCTGGCAGGCAGTAGCAGCACTGCTCTACTGGTGAGAGCGGGGAGAAACGGTGCAGTCCAGATCCACTTTTCTGGAGCAAAAGTGCAACAGATCAGAACGAAGCTGCTGGCCCGACTGCAGCACCCACCCCGGCCGCTGTCTATCTGACCAACCCTGGCTGCAGCTGCTGGGGCAGTCCCACTTCCATCCTTTGCAGAAATACGTGCCACCTCTCAGCACCTGTGCACATTTTCAAACATTTCAACAAATATGGAACCTTCTCTTCCCAGCAAGCATTTCCCTTTGGAGCCTGACTAGAAGCTGAAGTTATTTTCTCTGTATTAGAAGCTCTTTCCCCAGCACTGCAGGCTTAGGTGGTACCGTCCCTTCCTTTGCAGGCCTGCACCCATACAGCAAGTGAAGCACCAGAGCTGGAGAAATGCATTTTTAGTAAATGAACTAGGTTATCAAAAGATGCTTATGAAATATAACTTAACCACACTGGAATGGGCAGTCACTTCATACCGTGTTAAGCCTTTAGGCGAAAGCCAAGTACACTAGTCCACCGAGTTAATTCAACTGCAAGTAAGATAAGGCAGTTGGAGTAACTTCAGCAGTTTATGCATTTACAAGAAGTTTCTTATATAAAAGGCTGCAGAGGTAAAGCAGAGACATGTAAGATCTTTGGCCTTCATAAAAAGATGACAAATGCAGCTAGAGAAATACCAAATACAGAGTTTTAAAACTGCTTCCACAAGCGTTCTACCCTGGCAGGGACTACTGTAACGGCAGACGTGAGTAAACTGTGTTATCTCACTACATGTGCACCTTGTAGCCCCGTTCATACTTTTCAGCTTAAAAGAATTCTGCTCGCTGTCTGTTGGCCCAGAGTACATGGGAACAAAACAAGAAGGGTATGAAAAAAAAAAAAAACCAAATTTACAATCTCTGTGCTTGCTTGCTGAAGAATTTCATGAAGCGGTATCTTCTCCATCTAGATTGATGCTACTGTCACACTCGCTTTGTGCTGCATGCAGTGGTAGATTTTCAGAGTTTTAGTTAATATACTTCAGCAAGTTCTCCTGTTATCAGGAAAAAAAAACATTACTGTAAAGAGAGTTGTCTTATTTATTTTAAAATCTTGTGGTACCGATTGATTTATATTCCATTAACACCAATTTTGACAGCTTGTATTTCCATTTCATGCAGTGGAAATTTCATAGCACAAGTCCCATAGTGGACACATCCCAGAAAGGTAGTGGGAAAGGCTTGCAGGCCACTTCCAAAGAAGTGTCATGACTGAAAGCTTCAGCCTGTTTCACTTCTTTATGAATCAAGAAAACTGCATGTAGCCAGATATGCACAGGGAAATGATGCTAGCCAAATTATACTTCAGTACAAAAAACAGTCACACAATATTGATGAAATTACTGATGCATTCCCTTTTGAAGTTGCTGAAATACACAAGATTAAAGGTTAGAGGTGATGTTTTTATTTGAAGGATGAGAGCTCTGGTGGGAGGAAAGGGAGGATGGGAAGAAGGGGAGGAGTTAAAAATAGTAAAATAGTCTCATCCTGAAAAAACCATCCCTGCCCGTACGCTACCAAACAGAAGTATTCCCTTTTTTAAACCGAATTACCAGTACAGTTACAGAAGAGTGTGAAGATCAGTCAGTTGCCATGGAAATATTGAGATTAACCAGATAAACAGAAATAATGCTTGAAATAAAAGCAAATTTGAACTGGTGCGTAGCTTGCTTCCATTACTTGTATTTTATCAGGCATCTGTATACTGTGCAATATTTTTCATTCAACACATCATTTGAAACCCACCAGAATCAGAGAAAGTAGTAAGTTGTTACAATTAGCATCTCTATGTAAGATTTCACACTCCACAAAACAATGCAATTGACACAGGGTTTACACAAAACACTAGGTGATATCTTGAAAATACACTGTGATCTCTTGAAAATATAATTCACTGCACAATACTGACAGAATATTTACAGAAAACAACAAAGCAATCATTAGTCTCTCATAAATAAGGTGACCAAATATCCTGGGCCTCCAATCAAGTCATGCAATCCCCCATCACAATGGGGACAGGTCAGTATTTTGCTCTGATGAGCCTTCTCCTTCCCCTACCAGTCTTCTAAAAGCAAAAGAAAAATCCCACACACAACCAAAAGTACTCAAACAAACAAACAAAGAGAGATTTATAGTCATCAAGCTTAAAATTGCAAGCTTAGTTCATCCTTTTAGTATTATGTCTCCTTTTAATCCTGTTGCTATTGCTTTGCTCTAGCAAGCTTCCCCTTTCCCTGATGCAGTGCTGATCCCGACCTTACTTATGAAGTAGAGAGCACTCAAGAGAGCTGAGCTGCAAAAAGACATTGTTTTAGCAGTGAGGAAATCAGAAGAACACAGCTTGCAGGCAAAAGGAAAAGGAAATTGAAGATCCCATTCGTGTTCAGAAAGGTTACGAGGCAATGGGACATTTTGGTCGCCTTAGTTACAAGTCTCATTGTAACTTGCATGCATGCGCTTTTGTTTTAATCTGTAAGTGTTGAATCTCACAATCACAAACAGCTCTATTCAAACACCAAACTGGTAAACAGTTTTTATAAACAGCAATCATAGGGATGAAATAACTTTCTGTCCCAGAAATCACAAAACAAGATATTCCTAGAAGTCTTTTTTCCAGATGTGCATACTGATCTGTACAAGTCCCATCTTTTTGTAGCCAGCAATAATCCTACAGGTATGACCAGCTCAAGCAGTGACCATAGTTCCTTTTACAAGTTGCATATGCGGTTGCCATTAAAGTTGACGTTCACCATAGGTTACCATACATGGTTCTGGATACCACAATTATCGGCAAATCACTTTAATGGTGACCACTATATTACAAGTTACTCCAAGTACACACACACCATAAAGGATTATTACAGAGACAATACTTTACACTCTTATACCTGCAGCTTTCAGTTTGGTTTATTTTGTTGCTGTTTTCTACATGGAGGTGGTCTCCCATGACGCATAATATGTTTTTCCAAACTATCTAGGATGGCAATTGCAATTCGCTGTACATGTGGATCAGTCTGGACATTTTCTTTGATGTTGTATAAGTGCTGCAAACCACCTTCTTCAATTAACATGTTGCAGTACCTGGCAGCTGTAAAGAGATTTTAAAAAAAAAAAAAAGTGAATTTTGAAAAAGAATCTGGTGTTGAAGTAACAGATACTGTAAACACTTACTCAAATCCACTTTCATCTCCTAGACCAGTCAGCATTTAGGATGCTTCCTGAAGTGTCTACAGAACTGCATTCGTACTTTAATGAGCAACAGTGGAACAACAGAGCCGTTTCTGTGGTTACAAATACCCGACCTCTGATTGTCTTTGTTCAGTTTCCAAATCTGTCTTTGAACTTGATTGCAAGGTGCCTTGGAATATGCACAGTATTCTCTCCCTCTCTCTCTCCCTCCTCTATATACGTTTTAAGGGTGCATACATTTCACTTTCAGAAACGGGCACTAAGGAAATCAGAAGTATTATAGTATCTTTAAGTACCTAGGTAAAAACATAACCTTTTCCAAAAAACTTCAATATGGAACAGTTATCAAAAAGTGGTATCAGATACACTGCATCATTTGTACAGATTCGTCGAGTTCCTTAGAAAGTGGTTTGCCAACTACTACTGATGCTGACCTGTAACTAGTATTAAGTTGCTATGAATGCCTTTTCAGCAATAAAATTATACTTTTCTTTCCCCTTTTCTTATTGATTTAAAAAAGCTGGAAGTGCGTCTATATCAGCTCCACTGTTAGTATATGCAGCGACAAGCCACAAACAGAGCCATATACGTAACATATCATATCAGCTTCAGAAGTTTAAAAAAAGTCAGAATGACTGTAATGCAATTCACGGAGCGTTACTTCAGATGTGCCCAATATCATCATTCAACTCAGTGACACAACACTAGAGTTAACAATTTAAATGCTGACATAAAATGTTTCATTAGGGATCACATGTGCTGCAGTGCTACTAATATCTAAGTTAGCTTAACAAGCTGGATGTGGTATAGCAAAATGGCAAGCAGAGAAAGAAAGAAAGAAACAAACAAACAAAATCAGTCCCATTCATCACTCTTTCTTTTTTATCCTCATCTAAAGAGAGGAAGGCAAAATAAAATGCCTCCCCTTTCCAGGGTAAAAAGCCTCCTTGGTTCCAAACATCAACAACTTAGCATTTTTCCCCAAATTAATCATCATATTTCAGAATTAAAGATATTTTCCCTCAGAGTAGGTTATTACATTTGCTACTTAGCATTTGGTTTCTCTGCAGCTTTCTCAGGGAGGTTCTGGCAGCACCTATAATCAGAACTAAACTTCAGGAATAAGAGAACCACTGTTTTGATCTCAAATTAGGAATATCTCACCCAAGGATTCCCTGCCTCCCATTCTACAGTGCAGTTACTGTCAACACAAACCTCTGTGGCATGCTGAAAGCTCAGAGGTTACGACAGCATAAAAATAAACACTAAAAATAAACAGAACATATAGGACTGTAGCGAGTTGACAGGTCTGAGGTACAACGCGGAGGAGAAGGCTTGCTTTAATTTTATTAACACGGAATTACAGGGTCTTAACCAAAAACTGTTATCTAGAGTCCGGTCAGGAAAACAGCTTTATCAGAACACTTCTACTTTAATACAGGAATAATCCTCACAGATCTCTGGACAACGTACCCTGGGAACGAAGCCTCAAAAGAATTACCGTTATGAGCTTACAAACAACCACAGCGTAGAAAAATTGTACTTTATATGCAGTTACCTATTACACCATGTTACTGTTTGATCCTGAACAGATATATTTCCACTGTAGAAGTAGTGATTTATGGGACTGTTCAGCCCCAAGATAAACAGGGATAGAGTTACTGCTGTTAGGAGGATTAAACACTGGCACAGAGAACATCTTTAATACTTTGGAGGAAAGCTGCATTATATATGGTAGAAATTTATGTGAATACAGGTATGTATATCAAATTCACAAAGGGAGGAAAAAAAGAAAAAAGCATTAAAAGCCATGAAACATTGCCCCGTTTTACATTCAGGTATGCTCAGGGGATTTATTTCCTTCCCTAGCACTTAGACATTTCATCACATGCTCTCAAAGCATTTTACAAACAAGATGTTGGTGTTCTCCTTTTGCAGATGGGGAAAATAGATTAAGAAACTGACCTTCATGTCACAGCAAGTTACTACAGAAGGGCGATTAGAGGCCAGGATTACCTAAAATTTCTGTTCTAATTGTAAGAGATGGCTACCTGCTGCAATCCTTGTTCTTTAATTTAAAAATAAATTTGTGTTGCCTATTACTCTTATTATTGTTCACGTCTGAATAAAAACAACCGTTCAAGGAATACCATGTGAATTCCCATTTTTCCCAGTTCATGCTAGTGAATTTTATGCTACGAAACACGAATAAACACCACTTTGCCTTAATACATACGATTTTTGCTGCAGACATGCTGCATGGCCCACACTGCCCATAACTGGACACCAGGTGTCATGAAACAGCCAAGTAGAGGAAAAAAAGGATTGAAAGACCTATAACAAAAATAAAATAAAATAAGAGAGAGAGCGCGAGCGAGTGAGAGATGATCAGCAACTCACTTTGCTACTAGAATGTCATTACTCAGAGAACATGTTCTGTCTAGCTCTTCAACATTTCATAAATCAGCATTTTAGATGCAGGATGTGACTGGCTTCTAATACTTAAGAAAGTTACTACCAAAAACGTGCAGAACAAATACATGGTATGCTTCTACCATAGCACTTGGATGCCTCCTCCTACTCCTTAGGAATAAACAGTCTAAGTGATAAGGATTAGATGGATAGTAATCATCTAATTGCACTTTTTGGCCTCAAGTCTCTTTTTCTAGGACAGACAGTGGTAACCTAGTGCTAGCCAATACAACTTTATCGGTTAGTCGTTGCTTATAGTCTTTTAGATAGGCAGCTGAATACCATAATAGAAAAGCAGGGAGAAGAACATTACATTTATCTCTTACAGGAGTCCCTAGCTGACTCTACCTTTCTTTTGTCCCAGAGGGAAACCCAATAGGCTGTATATTTCGAGCTAATAGGTCTTCTGAGTTGGTTTCTTTTGGGCCAGTTATCTTCTACCAGACAAAACCACGTCTGGCATGTGGCTTACTCTGCTTCAGGAACAAGCTTTTAAATGTAGTTCACTTCTACCGTACTTTCCAAACTCTAAACGAAGACAATAGTTACCTGTAAGCCACCATCTCACATTCCGGAGTTGGCCAATTCAAAATGGCAGAATGCTGCAAAATATAGAACCAAGAACACTCAGTGTTAAATACAAATAGAAAATTATAAAATACAGTATGATAAAGTGCACTGTCTTTTCTGTACCAGTTGTTCAAGAAGAGAGGTCCTCTGGCTGCGACTTAGTGTCCAGGCCTGCTCTCCTCGAGATATCAAATGAGCAATAATCCCTGCTGCAAAGTAGCTGACTTCCACCTCAACACTGTGCAATAATTTGCTGATATGGTCTATAAAGTCTTTCCACATTAACTCCGAGTGGAGTTCTTTAACTTCAGCTATGTTATTCTGTGAGGGGAAAAAAAAGAATTAAGAACATATCAACAAAAGTAATACCATTCAAAGGAGATGAATATATGAACTTGAACTATGTGGTGAATTTAAACGTGAGATGAGATCTTTGTACATCCAGGTGACAACTATATACCAAAATACTACTTTTGCCTTTGAAAACCTTTCCAGTTTACTGCAGGAATTTGCCTCAAAATAAAAAGATTTTCTCATAAATAGTTTAAGATCATTAGTACAGAGATTCTACTAATTTAAAGGCTAATTTATAACATTCTCAAATACTAATTCTAATTTATAACATTCTCTCATTTCATTAAATATCAAAAGTGTGCAAATCTGAATTCCATTGACTTTCAACCTATTTTTTAAGTTTACACCCATTAGAAGCCTCACTCACTGCCCTTTCTTAAAAGCTCTTTTTGTTCACACTAACCATCCATTTCAACATAATTAGTGCTTTTGGAGAATTGGCAAAACAGTCCAAAACAGTGTGAATTATGAAGAACGCACACCATAAAGATTAAAGAAGAATTTTTAAGTGTTATGCAAGTTTTCAGATTAACATTGACACATCAAGTTTTAAAAGTCTATAAGATTTCAGATATTTTTTGTTCATCTCACCAGAAGTCCAAGAACTTTCTGCTGGATGGATGACTCAGATGGAAAAGACTATGGAAAGAAAGAAAAAAAAACCATAGGTAACCATTTATGCTTATTATTGAAAAAATATTAATTATAAAACTAATTGGATAATCCACAACCAAAACCATACTTCATACCTCCAAGACTCTCATGAAAAGTTCTAGCCCTTGATTTTCAATGAAGTGCCGACATGTTGTTGGAGATTCGTCAGTGAGGTTCCAAAGTGCGCTCAGTGTGAACTTGAGGGTAGTATCTACAAGATTCTGGTTTGTTTTTTGTTTAACTATTTGAAGAAGTTGCTGGGAAAAATAAACCAAAAATTCTAGTTATGAGTGCATATTTAAAAAAAAAAAAAGTATCAGCTCCTGTGTTTGCTTCTGGACAGATTGGGGTAATGCATAGTGATCATTTATAGGCAGAATATACTAATACCTATGTGTTTAGGATCAAACTATTCAAAAACAAAACAGCTATCCGTTCTTTTCTCCCTTTAAACATGGTTGCCTGCTAAAGGAATTCCTTTGTCTACACCATAATTACATTTGCAGCGCTATTATAGATGGCAGAAAGCCATCTGCAGAATTCTCGACATCACTTGAATATTGCCAGCATTGACAATTTACTCCAAGTATTCTATTTTTAATCATTTTTAGTTTTATACAATGAATTTCAAATCAAGAGACTTCTTGCCATTTTACTTTGGATTAGTTTCTGATAGTGACAAATTTTTCCACTTTGACTTCTTTTCATCTATGCTATTATATCTCACTGTCACTGTACTTGACATTATCTCTAATAAATTCTCTAGGTTTTTCTGTTTCAAAAAAAAAAAAAACACAAAAAAAACTTTCAAACAGAATACAGATTAACGTGTTCTAGGAATTCTATCCACTTTCTTTTATTCTGTATCTTTAGAAATACTGTTATCACGAATAGCTGAAAAGGGTTGGTATTTTTGACTGTCAGGAAAGTATCCAACTTACCCTAACAATGAAGAGCTCTGCACCAAGTTGAGCTGTTTGCTCTGTTGAAAGCTACGAACAAATAAAAATCACATCAGCAATTTTTTTCAGACATTAGAAATACTGCCTGATCTTTTAAAAATTTAAGTTTTGTACCTTTGCAGCAAGAATGGAAATTATGGCTACAGCCATCCTTTGCATGTTTTGATCTTCATGATTACACAGCCACTGCATAACAAGTTTGGCTGCTTCAAACCTGAAAGTTAAAAATAAGTTAATTTTCAGAAATCTCCTAAGTCTTAATAAGAGAAAAATGCACACAGAAAACTCATTAGATATAAATGCATTAAGCCAAAAAACTAGAAGTACACCTTGTACCAAAAAGGTAGAAATACACAGCAAAACTACAGGTATTGCATGAGCCTCGGTAGGCTCCGAGGTGTTTGTTTAGGGTCTCTAACTCCAGGTTACGTATCCAAGTGCAGGAGCTTCTAAAGAAGGAAGAAAGCTTTCAAACAATCTTCTGAAACATCAGAACAACATACTGTAAAGCCTCTGGGCAAAACATGTAAGTAAAAAAAATCTCTGCAAAAGCAATCCCACAGTCCCCTGAAGAAATCCTGATTTCTGTTACACTTGACCAGTGGTAGACCTATCCAGCTGAAGTCAAAATACCTATATATCAAAGCATTTTTTTCAGATCTATATTCAAAATAATTGTGAATTGCAGATCGAACAATACCATAGACCAGACAAGTTCAGCATGTTAGAATAATTTAAACTGAGCAAACAAGAGTCCAGAAACAAGCTTTGTGAATGATCATCAAGCCTCCAGAGTAGGCACACACTTCTGAAAGTCCAAGAAAGTTATAAGCCTATTTCATGACTAAGCAGTCACCATAGAAAAAAAAACCATTTCCAGATGCTACAACTCATTTTAATTGACATATAAAACTTGCCTGTTAAATGGAACATCCTGAAGGATTCTGTCACTGCATAGTGAAAGAAGGCAATTCTTTTGCAGCTGTAAGAAACGAAAATGACTTCATCAGACACACACATATTTCAGAATGCTTTCTTTCTATGAATCATTAAATATATTTTCATTTCTATCATGAGCTGTACTGAAAATAACTTGTCAGAAAAGAAAGGAAAAGGTCAGTCTGAGAAAGGGGGAAAAAGAACAACTTTTGAGTAAAATTAATCCTTTCACAGTGGGATTCACTTTCCCTCTTGTATTTAAATTTATGCAACTCTAACATGAGTGAAGGAGTTCTAAAAATGCCACAATTTTCTTTAGAATTATATCCCAAACAGAGTAGAAGGAAAGCCAGCTGAATACTCAAAGCCCATTAAATTTTAAATGTGAAAGTTGAAAGTTAAAAAAAAAAAAAAAAAGCGCTTTCAGAAATTCACCAAAATATTTCTTAGGATTGTTATCTATAACTGTTGACATAACTATAGGCGTGAATGGAAGAGAAGCCCTATGCAAGATACCAAACTAGGGTTCATTTACTTCTTAGCAATTCACTTTAAAATTTGATGTTTTCAATAGTGAGACTTGCCCAAACCACACTATTTCATCCAAGGACTGTCCAAGTACACGAGATTTTTCCAAAAGCCAGCAGCATCTCATTCTATGTTATTAATGTTAACAGTTGCTTGATCAATGACGCAACTCTCAAACAACTCCTAACACACAGCTGATCGCTCAGAAACTAGCTTAGTGATTAGAGACTTCTCAAAGGATTTCCACATTTCCACATTGACTTTTCCTTCAATGCATTCATCCTTCTTTATCAAGCAAAAACTTCTGGATAATCATAAGGAAATAATTTGTACCCACATATCCAAAGTCTACTAGAAGAGATATTTTGTTTGTTTTCAACAAAGGACAAGGTAACCACTTTGCATTTCTACTTAATTCTGCCTGGATAATAGTTCTGTCAAGGCAAAAGTCACAGTTTGCATTAGATATCCAATAGCATCACCTCTTGGTTTCCATCCCTCTTCTGTTTTAGCTTTTGTGTTTGCCACATCCAAGGAAGCATTCACTCTTGTCAGCAAGATTACCTCAAAATAGTGGCTGACTCGGACTACAGTATTTGCTATTCATTCATGACTTTAATTTCATTAAGAGGCCTCTTAAAAAGCCACATTATGGGAACATATAAGGCAGAAAGTACAAAAGGAAGCATTATTCCATGCGAATCCTGCACAAATACAGATGCATGTGTACTTGTTCACAGCCGCTCTTGAGATTGAGATGCGGAAAAATCTTTTCCAAGACCCACAAGACAACAGAGAAACCTACAGAAAACAGAGAAACTTAGTCTTTTACCTGTTGATGATTTGGGAAGTGTTCCATGGCCTTCAGGAGCAAGTGAGTGACATCAGCCAGAAGTCGTACAGGCATGCCTGCTGCTAAGTCTTGCTTGGTTAGGTTAAAGACGCATGCACTTGCTGCTAACTGCACAGGCAAGTTCAGGGGGTGATTTCTCATTCCAATAACCACAAGCTGAAATGCAAGAGTTTTGCCCGCGTTACTTACACATACCCCAAGAGCAATCCACTGCTGCTTGAGGCTGCAACAGTGACTCACAACACCCAGTTTCTGCCTGCCTTTTATTTAAGTGAAAAATCCATCTGGTGTGATTTTAATTCTCAGTAAGAACATTTCCCTCTGCTCAGTGATTCAAAGCAGACAACTGATACTTCTCTGAGTCCTTTTGTACCGGTTGCAGCAACCTCTCAAAGGAGATTCGCACGGAACGCAAGAGATTCTTAGGAAGACCCAAAGTTTGCTCTACATACCTGGGTAATATCACCATACCCTTTCAGAGATGAATGAGGTCAGATATGCTTTCTGCAGCGTAACGGAAGTGATGTACTGGATTATTATTTGGTGACTAGACATTTAAGATCACATCCTAAGCTGTTGGTTTAGTATATATGTATCACAATTCCTTCCTGAATTATGTTTTTGGCTATGGATATTGATTGCAACCTCACCTAAGAAAATATTTTTCCTGTTGATTATCAATTCCTTCTTGAGGTTGAAGCCAAAAATATCAAGCAAGATCAAGTAAAGGTCACTTGTTCAACTCAAAAGATCATAAGGGGAAAAAAAAAAAAAATCTGTCCTTCTGATCCCTCTTTTTATGATCAAAGAAGAAATTAAACCATTTCTAGTGTTTCAGTAATGTAAAGCCAACATCTAGAATGGGTTTCTAAGGAAGCTCCTAGGAATTGTCACTAGTTTAGCCCAATATATAACACTATTTTTTTTTCCACTTGTTACCATCCTAGAAAGTGACAATGAATAGAAATATCAGGAAATTAGGCTAGACAAATCTTTAATTTGACCCAGTATAAATATGTTCCAAAGAAATAATTCAGCACGTGCAGACAATTTCAAATCATATCAAAGTTACCCAAAAAAATTAAAATTGCAATGCTACTAAATAGCCCAGAATACTTTAACCTAACATAAAACACTGCTAGGGCATCTTCTCCATCTCTCTTCCTAAAGTCATTGTTGATTTTTATCAAATACTAAAGTTTTAAGATTAAAAATCACAACAAAAAAAAAAGTAAAAGTTCATACAATAATTTATAGCACTTTTTTGAGACGGCCTCCTTAAGTTCAGTTTAAGAAACAATTTACAAATGTCTTATCAAAAGTATATTTTACCTTTAAAATTTCAGGCTTTGTTTTTTCCATTACATGTGTCAGACTAAACAAATGAAAGAGTGCTTCTCTCACAAAGAAGGCCCGTTCACTGTAACGCTTCAGTGCTTCAGAAATCTGAGTTTCATTTGCTTCTCCTGACACCTACAAACAGAGAAATAATCTTTAGTTCACAATGTCATCACTTCGTTTTAAAAATTTTGCTCTTAGTAAGTGCAAAGCTGCAATGTCAAAGGTGGCAATATTTTAGCCAAATCCTTCAGGAGGCAAATGATTATATTAATCTGCCCACATTAATCCAGAACTACATAATCTTCAAACATTCTTCATAAGATGATAGCATCCGTCTGTTTAAGCCAAAACTAGGATTCAATCACGTCTTTAAGCAGAACTGTGAGACTAAGTAAATGTAGCACTCCTAGCCAATAAAAATTGATCGTGACACACCAAATGCTTAAAAGCAATTTGTTAACTGAATGCTCTGTCAAATGAAGCTGATAAACTGACGAGGATGATATATTTCAACTCTAATTTACTGGCACTCCGTTCTACCTCCATCAATAGACAATATTTCCATTCCTTGCCTACAACAAGTTTCTTATAAGATAAATCAATAGCAATAGCTTTACAGCCCTGCTTTAAAGAACATATACTCATTGCAAAAGAAGAGCGTTCTTAAAACTAGACTTGAAATACATGCAAAAATTAAACAGTGATCTAATGTAGTAAAGAGCACATTAGAAGCTATGGGCGACTGCCTTAATATGTGCTTAAGTTTAGAATAATAAATCGGAAACTAGCTACAGATTTTTCTACTTCCCAACCTGATGTGTTTTCCACTAACTGAGTTTTATCTACTTTATAACTGTAAGTTGCGTACCTGTAGATGGTTTGTTCCTCAGTCCTACTATTTAATGAATCATTGCTGCAGCCACTGTTTTTAAAAAGTTCTTATAGAAGGATGCAGAACTTGTTCTACTTAATCTGTCACATAAGGGAAAGCAAACGTTCATAGACTGAAATGTCATGTTCCTTGCATCTTGCATTACATAGGCCAAAATTTTCAGACCTTGCTGGAATATCAGGCATGTTTTACAGTTTTCCAAGAACTGATACCATCTTGGATTGGCTTTACGTTCTCGCCTCATTAAACCAGGGCAATCATATCTACCGAGCAAGGAAACGTTCCACAGCCAATTATACACTACATGAAGAATTTACACTCAGCTTCACGACGATAAATCACCGTGTCCGCCTCAACTGTTATATAACCTATAAATGTTTACTCTCTCAAGAATTTTCTATGATCCAGTTATACAGGACTGTTTTACAACATAAATATTTTACTTCTAGTGTCTCCACACCTGCTGCGTCCTGTTTATTCTTTAGTAGTATCTAGACTAAGCAGCTGAATATTTCAATATTGTCACTAATGAACTTCAGCTCACAAAAATCAATTCCTGCCTACAGTCTTTTCCTGACAACCAAGCCACTGAGGAAAGGAATATGAACTGCACTTTGCTAACTCCACTGCTAAAAATCCATCACGATTTTCATGTTATTAGAACCTTCTTCATTCCCATCTTTTCATATCACAATCACTCACATGAAACATATATTCTAAAGAGCAAGGATTACATTGAATCATGTTATATCAAATGTGAGGTGTCATTTTCTGATGCTGTACACCAGTCATGTTAAATGGGAGCCTGCTTTCTACAACACAGCATTTCAACATTCATACATGCTGCTGTCAGCTGTGACAACTACATAAGTACTCAGGAGACCTGGACGTTAACGATCGTCAAAAGTTCCAAGCAAAAAAGATCATTATGACAAAATTGTTAAAACTGCGTCATTTCACTTGCCTATAACCAGAGCATTCTAAATGTTATAAATCAAATTTTAAAACTCCGCTTGCACAGGAGACAGACTGAAGTACAGCCACGTCGTGCAAACTCTTCCTCATTCCATCTGCAGTTTCCGTCATTCTCATGGCACAGTAGAAAACAAAACTGTCAGTAGCTTGGTCAAGGATGCTACACCATTGACACCGACATGTCTAAAACACCTTTCTTCTTTAATGCTGGCCCCTTTATACAGGCTACAGGACAGACTCATTCTCCAGTTCTATAACTATATGCATCTTCTAAAGACAGACAAGCAACTTCTTGTTGCTTGGTGCTAAAAGATAAATAAATGCACTTCAGCAGTCATCTCATCCTGAAGGGCCAAGTAAGTAGTTTAGGATTTGCACAAGAAGAACTATTTCATCCTGAGTAATTGCTTCTTACACATGCATCACCAAAAGACCTTTCACGGTGGGTAGAAATACTGTAATTAGGAAATAGGAGTGGTGATGGAGTAAAGCAGCAGTTCAGTTATTAAGTTTTAGTAAATTTACTATGTTAGGCATGAAGTGCTCAAAGTTTACACAAATTGCACCATCGGCTCTTACAAGTTTCTGCCTTATGCTAGAGACCATGATGAAAACCAGAGAATATTATCCCAATAAATGACTTCAGACCAGAAAAAGTTCAGCTTTCCTAGATCTGATATCTTAAATCAGGACTTGACACTCACTGCAAAGGCACAGAAGATGGACTTTTTTTACAACAGTATTATGTAGATTTAGCAGATACTGTGCCAAAAATAAGTAGCAGTCTGAGAGACAATCAGCAATTACAATTAATAGATGAAAAATGAATCTATAGCTTCCTTCTGAAACACCCACATACATTTGTTACAATTGACTCGTCCTATTTTTCCTGCACATTTTAGTTTTCCAGTACAATTAATCCCCCCACTTAACCTTTAGGTTTCCTTCTCCTGTTAGGAATTCTGAGTAGCCGGCATCCGTAGCTAGCAGTCCTACGAACTGCATTGTTGGACGTTGCTGAATAAATGCTTCTACAGCCTTATCCGTAACATGCTTTCTTCCAGAAATATCCAGAGACACGAGGTTAGGCAAGATATCTTTCTGTTCCAGTAAACGAAGTGCTATGTCTGATGTGAACTGTTTATCATCTGAAATATCCAGATGATTTAGATATTTTAGTTCTCTTATAACATCCAAAATCTGTGTTGTGGTCATTTTCAAGCATTTCAGGTGGTGCATGGTCAAAGATTTGAGATGGTCTTTGCAGGTAAGGAGTGCAGTTATGTCAGTGACAGAGGTGTTTGATATATCCAGACTTTCTAATCTAGGAAGGGAAGCAACGTCTGCCAAGTCCTCATTGTAGAACAGAACGTTGGTAATACTCAATGCACGAAGCCCGGAGAGCTGACTGAAGCACCTTTCATAGGGGTCTTCCAAGGAAAGAGTTAATGAGTTCAGCACAAGGCATTGAAGGTTTTGTTGGATCCATTTATTGCTGCCAAGTCCACTTATAATGTCCGTGATTGTTATATCTGCATTCACCCCAGTAGCATCAAGTTCTACCAGCTTGTGATGGCAGAATGCTTTCCGGAAAGCCACAGCGGAGATTTTTGCTTTCCGGATACAAGCTCGTTTCAAACGCATCTGGTTGCCTCGGAAAATGCCCACTGTTCCGTCATTCAGCAGCCCTATTGGAAAAGAGCGTAAGAAGTGTTAAAAAGGAAAATTAATTGCAAAATAATGCATATTGAATCATTATGCCACTGATTCCAAAATCTTACATTTCAGATTCTGCTTTTAAGATTATGATCTCACTTTTGGAAAATTCCAAGTTTGAAAAATTGGAATTAAAGTTGGAGCTAAATTAAATTAAAATGCAGTACATAAACAATGTCTCTTTGGCTCAGAACATGGAACGTGCAATAAATGAAATGTGGACATGATTCAGAACCTTTCAGACTACAGCCTGCATTTTCTGCATTTTCTCACAGTAACTAGTTAGAGATGTGATAAAGAGTACAATACCAACGATCAAGGAACAGTTTCCATCTTGCTTTAACTAATCTGAATAATTTAGCATTTGGTTGAACTCACAAGTAGGATCAATACACTAAGCTCAGCTAATGAAGTTCTCTCACATATCCTATATGAGGAAGGTAGGAGTGTTGCTCAGAAACAAGCTAAATGTGAGAAAGAAACCCCAAAAGTGTTTCAAAAAGAAGAAAGAGGAGGACAAGGAAAGAGAGTGGGAAGGAGAGAAAGACAGCAACGACAAAGAAAAAAAAATCTGCCTATGCAGTCCTTTCTTGCAGCATGCTGGCAACATCTTTACTGAAATAATAGGCTTAGTTCTATGCACAGGATTATCCAAAATGCATAGGAAACGAGGATTTCTTATTTGTATCATATCAGTAAAGTGATTGCTGCATTATAGAAAGTCATAAGAGAAGGGCATGACTGCATAAGCATGCACACAAGAGGAGTAGGAAGAAAGCGTCCTTCTAGTTTCACTCTAGAGGTTTATAAACTCCTGTTTTGAACCTCCTATCTATAAACATACTGAGAAAAGAAACTGAAAATGCAATATATTTGAATAAAACCTTTGCCATCACTACAGTTTGTCTGGATTTAAGTCATTAGGTAGACTTCCTCTGTGAGGATATCAAGTTAATATTAAGGTCTGCAGATCTTTCTAAAGAACAAGCAGTTTAGGCATTTCTCATCTGGTAGCTGAGGCATTTCTCTTTTGCAGAGAAAGTAAAAATAGGGGGCGAGACAACTGGTACCTGGAGAGAAAGATTAAGTGCAATAAATAATTTGGTAAAATATTACCAAATGGCATCTACGTTTTTGCTTATCTTTTCACTTGAGGATCAAGTTAGGCTATGTCACTAGCCTACTTTAGCCACACCCTGTTTATCTGGCATGCACTTTATTACATGCTGCACCTTCTCTGATACAGTATTTGTGACCTCTCTGCGGCTGGAACTGTCCTCTTCGCTACTAGCATCGGTAGTAAGTTTCTGTTCCTTGAATCTGGTTTCTTGGGACTACCCTAAACAATTAAGTATCAGAGGTAACACATACTGAAGATGGATGGGGTTTTGGAGTTTGTTTGTTTTTTTGTTAGAACCATTGCCCAGACTATATGGGACTGGAAACAGCTAGAGAAAACTAAAACTCCACTATTTGCACAACAAGACTCCAGTGATTTATTAGTCAAATCCATCCTACAGGTGTAGGGTTCTTAGTCTGTTTTAAATGATTTTTTGATGTCTCATCTCCACATAATGTCTCCAGAAATAGGTCTTCTGCCACTTTTTTTTTTCAGACTAGCCTAATCTATGCATTCCTTCTTTTCATGCTAAGATGCCTTTACTGACGTGAGCTTAACATATTCCTTTGTGTGCTTAAAGCAAAAACAGACAGACAGGATGGGAGCCCTCCACTCAAATACATACTGACATAAAACATGCAATAAGCCAGCACCTATAACGTAAAAAGATAACGATGTGGTTTGCATCATTTTTTATAACAGATTTGAAACTGACTGCTTTCCAGCAAATAATTCCACTCCATCAAATGTGCCAAGATTGCCGACAAACTTGTACACAGCACTAAACACACTGACAATTAAGAAAACATAATTCAGTTAATTGTTCTGCAGGAGAAATCATTGCTATCAGTTAGTAGCTATTTGAGCACTGTTGACCAAAATTGACCAAAAGAATCAAAGGAAAAAAAACCTAACGTTCAATTAATGGAACATTAAATTAAAATTGTAACTATGAGGCAAAAAACTTCCTATTCAGAGCTTTGTACATAGCTATGCAGCATTCAGCCGAAGTTGTGGCAAAGCTGGAGTAACAGAAATTCCCTATTAAGGAATATAGTTTAAACAGCTCCAATATCAGATTCTACTAGAAAATACACCAGCACTACAGTGTCACGTTCCAGTAAAATATTACTTAATACTTAATAATTCACAAATGATTTTTTTTTTTTTCTTTTACCATGAAATGCCATCGTCTGCAGCAATCGATCAGCCACTTCTTGAGGAAACATTCCCGGCTCCTGTAGGCAGAGCGTTCCATCTTGCCTTTCTGTACAAAACTTCTCTAGGTTGGCAGTCAGGAAATTCAAACAGATGTCAAGCAAAGAATAAGGCGATGCTTCCTCCTGTCACGTGCAAGGCACAATGAAACAAATGAGATTTACTCAAATCATTGTCTTTCTCCATGAATGTCCCATTCCTCTACTATGCTGTTTTTAGGCAAATCATTTTTTGTTAGTCTGATTCTCACTGGAACAGGCAAATAGTACAAAAGGATAAGTCCCCCTTACAAAAAGGGAAGCCCCTCTTTGGAGGCACCCAGCAAATGTACCTCAGGTCACAGGATAAATGACTGGCCACACCGATGGGCAGTCCTCTCCCACAACCACCCCTGGAGCCACAGCCCAGCTTGTCTGTTGTACAAGACGATGCAAGTCCTGCTTGCACTCACAGAGGAAGAAAAGTATTTTCCTAATTTCTGATAAGTTGAAATTATGAAGTCTACTGGGAATTAATGAAACAAGATAGACCGATAGAAGAAAATCATATATCCGTAAAGTGATAAGCAGGAAAAGACAGCACCTACTGTTCTTAAAAACGTGGAAGGCATGGAATCAGGCTTTCTAAGTATTCTGGTATCCAAAGATACAAATAGGAGGTAATAGTAAGTTCAGGTGCTCTTGAAAAGCCTGCTTGTTACTTAATATCGTTAAGAGTACTTAAGAGTACTCAAAAAAAAAGAGTACTCAAGTTATTTAATTCACAATACAATTAATCAATTACTGTTTTTTTTTTTTTAACTAAATCACTTTAGCTTTGAAATGTATTTGCAGTCCACTAAACTGACAGTAAAAAAAAAAAATGCTGGTTTTGTCCATCTAGCTCAATTATAATTTCCATCAAGGTTTAACAAGAAAAATGTCAAAGTAAAATACGTATTTCAAAAGTATGTGGTTCATGTATTTAACTTTTTAATAAGTATGTTGGAGACACATATATACCAAACATGGCATAAAAACAATCCAGCTTGCAGATAAACATGGTCTAATTACAACACTAGTCTATTAAAGTAAAAACCTGTTTTGTAAAATAAATTATACAAATGCAATATAGGATTAAAAATGAGAGCATTTTTTAAAATCAAATGTTACTTCTTTGATTAATCTTTAATTTAAGTCAACCCACATTAGAAAACTACTCCTGAACTACAGCAGAAATGTAATAAATTTTGATACTGAAAAGGCGAGCTAAAACTTCAGATCAAAAAAGGAGACTCAGAAAGACCTACTTTAGCGCCAAACTCTGTGCGGCAAGAATTAACAATTACTACAGTCTTCTTTCTGGTCATAAATACCTTTTTCTCCTTTTTATGCTAAGGACCTGGAAATCATACACAGAAGTACCTCAGGTACAAAGGACAAAGCAGAATATAAACTTAAACTATACCTTCAGAGATTAAGATTGTACGTTTAATAAGAAGAACTCCAAGGATCTGGTAATTCAGTGCCTAATAATAGCCTCCTGTTTTCAGTCACACAAATTAATCAACATAAAGAATGACTCACAAGCATTGTGAATCATCCCCAGCACTACACAAAAGAAGGCCAAGTGACTGGTACATACTCCCTCTGATAATTTTGAAAATAACAGCATCAACTGTTGCCACATCTCATCTGTAGGTAAAATTGTAGCTTGCCTTTTAGACTGAACGCTCTGGATAACTTCACCTTTCTTTTCTAGATCATCTGACTTCTCTTCTGTCGTTTTATTTGCCTCGTGTGTTCATCAGATAAATACAGAAATATGTAATAGGTCACACAAAATAAATTTCAAGAAAAATACAACTTGCATCTTTTAAAATCAGCTGCATATACTTGAAGATGGGGAGATATCACAATAGGTCAAAGACAGCTTTGACACTTATCTTTAATGATTCATGTATTGTCAACATAGACACTGTAGTTTAATACAGAGTCTGAAGACTTAAGTACAGGTCTGGGAACTAGAAACTCTAAATTATTCAAATGTAAGCTCTTTCTGCAGCATTTGACACTCAACTTCCAACCCCTTTGACTCGATTTTTCTATCTATAAAAGAAAACAGGCATATTTGTCTCAGAGAGATCTCCTGCGCTTAAAGGAGATCTTTAGTGCTTTAAGTCTCTTTAAAAAAAAAAAAAAAAAAAAAAAAGCTTGATTATTACATTGTGGAAGAAATAAGAGTTATTTTTCTGATGTGACTTGCTGAAAACAGCAATTTTGACTGCCTCACACCGTAAGCCAATATGAAAGGAAGGGCGAGAATTTGGAACCTTTAACATCTTTTGTAAGGTACAAAAATGCCTGAAATACTTCTAAAGAGAAATCCAACTAATTACTCAAAAATAGGACATTTTTAAAGGAAAGGAGAAAGATTTCTGTTTAACCTGAAACTAATACACAGGCCCAGGAGCTGCATGACAGCTGCTGACTCAAACAGAAATCAGAACCCTTGCTCAAAAGCCTATGAAACATTCCCGCTGAACCAAAGACATCCTCATCTCCCATTAGCTCCTGTACTCGGAATTTGCTGCTTAAATATGACAGAAACACAACACTGGCTCTGTTAATTTCTTCTGGCACTGTCCCATCACTTCTGCCAGAAAAGCTAAAATACTTCACATACCAGTGTGCAAACTCTGATGAGAATTTTTGGCCTTGCAGATAGGCTGCTAACAAATAAATCAGAAAGCCATCAATCAATACTTCTAACTGGTCAAACTCTAATTTGGATCTATTATTTTAATTTTAGTATTGAATAAGCACTTTAAAAGTCCACACAGGACATCACCATAACAATAAAAAGATGCAGGCCACTATCAGAAATCAGTGATACACTTGTTGTTTCCATGCGTAATTTTTACTAACTTCACTTATTCCATTTGTAGGAGACATGGAGATGTTTATAAAGTTTCTTTAACTTTTTGCAAAAAAGGCTGATGAAACACCACTAATGAAGGCTCTTAGGTAACCTGAGCAGATAGGGCAAGTATTTGTATACATAGCTAATAAAGTCCCTTGACAAGCATCAGGAAAATGATTTCCTAGGTTGTCCACTACCGAAACAGAACAGCTGGAATGTATCCTGCAAAACTCTTATGTGAGCCAGCAGCATTCCTCTTCTGTAGTACATCATGCGCCCCTTTAATTTAAAAAAAGAACATTACCCAGCTAAAGATCTCAGAATAAGAGTCTTTATTTGTATTTAAATGCTCACAAGTTTAGCATTTAGATCTCTGTTAAAACTACTTATGCTTCTGAATGTCAATTTGAAAACAAATTGGGCTATTGTTTTCAGTTCATTTCACTTTCTGCTTCTAATACTCTAAAATGCAATGCTTTAACATGTCAACCATAGCTCAGGATTTTTTTTAAATTCAGAAATATTGGGAAAACTTTTATTACGTAGATTTGACTTTTGTCATAGCCGTTTTGTCAGGGTTTCTTTCATTTCATCAAACTAATTCAGCAGGCAGTCGAGAAAAAAAAAAAAAAAGGTCATGAAACCACAGACTATGCATTGCATGATACAGATCTTGACACCTTCATTTGCTAAAACTTACATTAAGAATAGTAATATGACACATCTAAAACCAACTAATTAATGGAATGAAATAGAAAATAGAGTAAGTCCATTTAGATGGACTTTTTAAGGCTTATTTCAATGAACTATTTAAAAAAAAAAAACAAACAACACTTTGTCCATGGTAAACTAAGGTAAACTGGAGGGGAGGGGGAAACTGCATGGCTGTTGGCATCTAACAGTAATCTAATACAGGTAGCAAACTGAAATTCAATACCTGTTTCAATATGATGTCAATATGATGTCATCCAGTTCAGCTTCTGAGCATATATACACTATGTCATTGGCAAGGTTCTCACAAAGAACACTATCCTCCACCTTTTCTTTTAAAATCTTCTCATATCAACTTTAAATACTACTAGAATATATTTTACCCTTTATTTCAAAATCTAGATATAAAGAAAGCTGATAAAGGGACAGCTTAAAGTACCTGGAATAATTTTGAGAATCCTAAACCTAATATTATGCCTACATTATACATATTACGCTCATTACCATGAGCGTAAGTATCGAAACAAAATACTGTTCCTTTTGCAAGGCATTATCATGCAACCACGCACCTATAGAACAGCAAGAGAGGAAAATTAAAATAAACAAATAAATAAATAAAGACATGGGTTTAACTGACATTTTCCATCAGGAACAGCAGTCTAATTTTGCAGGAAAAAAATTCCACTGCTGTGTAGGCCTTTTTTACTACAGGCGTTGTGATCCTACCATCTCACCCTGAAAGATTTAGTTCCTTTTAGCTTTGTGTCTCACTCATTAAAAAATAATAATCTTTTTTTCCATAGGTAGTTTTTGATCAGTTTTTTTGTCAAACAACTCATATAAAATCTTTGAAGATAGACACCAATTTCAGCTTCAACAGAACAATTTTATGGCTTACTCTCAATTTTTATATCCATTTATTTTGGTATGACAGAAACCCGAACGTGCAAGGTTTCTGTACACTCTACAAGGCCCATCGGCTTTTTTTCCTTGAAAGCTCAAAGGGGATAAGGATGTAGGATAAGAGACTTTTCAAATAGTGGCAATTATTTCTCTCAGCAAGTTGGCAAGAAAATAAGAGGCAATTCAAGACCTTAGTTATTGGTTTTGGACATTCTGTTTTTCACTGCTTTTTTCCCCCCTCCCCACAGCCCTAAGGCTTTATTTACATTCTTAAAATAATCAAGAAGTAGTAGCAACTCAAGTAACGGTGAACAAAATTCTTCTGAGCCCTAATAAAGGAAGGGGAAGGCAAGCAAAAAACAAACAGATGGTTCAGTGATTGACGCTATACGGAAAGCTTTACGATTATCCTGCTTAGGTTAAGCAGAATGAAACAAAAGTAGGTGATTTATTAACTACCAGACTCGAGCAGAGACTATGAGCCAAATTCATCAAATTTAATATTTTCATTAATTATTCTGGCACAACAAATGGGATCACGCTGATGAAAGCTGCTAGGCACGCAAAGTTGGGAGGGATCACAAGTGCAAAAATTATTAGTGCAAAAAATTAAATAGAGCTATATGTAAGGCCACCTATTTGAAGATGATATCCAGACCTCCAGACAGGCACTCATCAATTAAAAACTGCTGGAGACCAGAACCTGAATCCTTTACTTAATAGCAGGAAAACAACGCAATGTAGCCAAAGAAGGTATCAGGAGAGGCATCAGGCAAAAATAAGGCAGTATCAGTGTCATTTCCAAGGCACTAGGAGATTTCATGGGACTATTTATGCCCAAGACATATTTGCACGGTTTCAATTTGAACACAAGTTACTAAAACGCTCGGGGGGTGGGGGGGGGAAGCCTGTTGGGAAGAAGAGACAAAACCAGCTTTTCTTATGTGTCTAGCAGATCAAAAGGTGTGAGGAGATATGAACGCCGCCCTATAAACATGGTGTCGTGAATAAACGCTATAGGAGAAGGGCAGTTAAGGTAAAGCACAAGGCCAGCACAGTGACCAACCAAAATTAAAATTTTGCCACGAACGCAGAAGTTGGGACAGAGCTCCTGAACATCAGGCGGGCAAGTCCTACCTCAGCGGGGGCAAAGAGGGAACCATCTTTAAGACAAGGATCAGGGGAGGGGGGAAAAAAAAGTTTATTAAGGGATTAAATGAAACAGTACCTGTAATAACAAGGGAATTAAACCAGACAACCCAGGAAGCGCCTGCCAGTGCTTTACAAGCAAACCTGCACGCTCATCTCCCACGCAGGGCAGTGGGCAGAGCAGCACCCATACGCCCTGCTCCGAGGCCTGGCTTTAACGTGCAGAAACGGCTGTTTTTACCCGCCG